GAGGGAGGGGGGGAGAGAGAGAGAGAGAGAGAGAAATAAATAAATAACTGACTGACTGACTGACTGACTGACTGACTAGCTATTCCACATGCACTGAGATAGGTGCAGGCAGAACTAACAGGAGAGAAGAAATATTTTTTGTGCGTTCAGTTAGTCCCTGTCCAACACAAAGTGGTATCCCACTAGGAAATGGCAATGGGTAAAGGGTTTATCAGATAGGGCACTTTTTTTTAGATTTTTTTTTTATCACGCCTTTATTATTTTGATAAAACAATCAAGGGAGCGAACATACCTAATACTCCTTCTTCCTCCTATTTTCCCCACAACAAGAACCCTGTGAGGTGAGTTGAGCTGAGAGAGAGTGACTAGCCCAAAGTCACCCAGCTGGCTTTTATGCCTAAGGCAGGGCTAGAACTCACAGTCTCCTGGATTCTAGCCTGGTGCTTTGAAGGGGAGAAGTAGAGATGGTGGAAAAAAGGGAAAGCTTTGTTGTACACCGCCTAGAGTTGCCTGTGGTGAGATGGGCAGCTCTATAAATTGGCTTAATAAATAATAATAAATAAATAATAAAGCAAGAGGACACAACAGGGAGGGAATGAGCAGAACTGGAATTAGATAACCATCTTGTAAATTAGAAGCAGGAAACCTCTTGCCTTTCAGACATTTCTGGATATTTAAACTCATCTCAATCACAGCAAACACAGCCAATAGTTAAAATCTAATAGCATCCGGAAGGCCAAATAGGGGTCTGTTACAAGCATCAATCATGTCAAAACGATGATATACATGTTGTGATGTCATCTTATAAATCACACAGTAATCTGTGTCATGATGCAAGTACATAATTCTTGTCATTAGTATGACGATGCAAAGCACTTGTTATTTGCACACACACCCCACAGATGTCGATGGGGCCAAAGTTCTCCAGTCTTGCCCTAAATGATTACTTGCAACATGAAACAACTGTGTTGCTAATATAGTATATTACAGCTAAAGGTGAGCAGTATTTGAATCCAAAGCTGGCAAGGGTGCTTTGGATCTGGCATGAGCATCCTCGCTGTATCTGCTGACTGCTCCTTAAAAGAACCACAACTTATCTTGGTTTTGCATGGTAGCTATGAAAACTCAGGAAAATAATGTGTTTGAGTTAAGGAGATCTTATGGCAGAGAAAGGTGTAATTACATCACTCCCCTACTGCTGCCCCCTTAACTCAAATGTGTATTTCTTTAGAGGAACTCCCTTAAGGTGCAGCTGACAGGTACAGGGAGGTTGCCCATGCTAGAACGAAAGCACTCTTGCCCACTCTGGCTCTAAATACTGCATGTCTACTTATGTTTCAGCAAATCCATACCTTTGCTGAGATAAGAAGCAGTTTTCTTGAAACCCATGTCTTCCAAGATAGTTATCATTAGGGTAGCAGCCTTCTCTTCATAGAATTCAACAAGGAGCTCCACCAGATCCAAGCAGTCTGCATTTTCCATCCGACCACGTGGAATATTCTTTCCCCGAGGAGCTGCTACATGTCGCAGCTTAGACTTAAACATCTTAATGTCTTTTTTCTCAAGATGTTCTAAAGCATCTACTAGCAAGTCCTTCATCTTTCCTCCTCCTGTGTCCATAGCAAGGTCACAGTCAAGCTAAAAAAACAAGCATATTTTAGGGGCTAGAAAAAACAAAGTAACTGTTGGCATTCAGAATGGATTGTGCATAACCTTGGCAGATGGATGGAATACAGGGGACCCAAATTACAACCTGTAGTGAATAGGCAGTTAACCACCCCACATTCACTTACCAACAGCCATGTCTGAGTTCAATTCACACTGAAACCAACTAAGGCCAGGCTTGGGATCATGAAGGCAGTATTGTCTTTTTAAAACAAGAGCAGAAGCTGGGAATTCAGGCTGAGACCACATTTAACCAGGCATACAGAATGGTTTGGAGCAGTACAGCAGCTATGCACTATTCAAAACCATGGTGAAATCCAGCTACAACTGGCACCAGAAAATGCCAGAAGGTGCTTCTGGTCTCTACAGCAGAAGGCACCTGATTCCTACCAGATGTTTGCTCACCAGGTAAAAAGAGTGTGTTATACCTGGTACAAACATGCAGGAGCCAATATGGTCCAGGAAGTCAAAGAGCTGGTGTAACTTGAACAGTTCCAGATTAAGTCAGATACAATTTTGGGGGTCTGAGAATGGGCAATACAAGGGAAATTAACCATAAACCAGATTTTGGAATTAAAAATACTGAAGTTAACTTCAGCCGTGCCAAGGATCTATGTATGGGTATTTACCTTCCCTCTATAAAATATCTAGCGGCACTGCAATGCCTCCTTCACTGGCCTATCTTTCAGATTTCCCCCTTTTTCAGGTTTGTCCTTTATTTTTTCCAAGAAAATATGGTCACTGTAGCTATATCCCTTCACATGCAATCTTACCGTCCTTTTATGTCTGAGGATTAGAAGCGTCAGTCAAGTTTCTAACTACAATTATTTTTTAACTACCATTTTACTCAAAGCTGTTTTGTCAATGGCATGTTTCCATTTATTATAAGCAGATTTGTGGAAATGATAACTAGCATCCGACTTCTCTATTTGTTAGCAACAGCAGCCTTGCAAACTTTTCAACTGAAACAGTTGTAGGACGACCAGGTAAAGGAAGCTCCTATCTTGACTAACTAAAAGTCCACTTTTCCACAAGTTGCAAAACAAGACTGGGCAGCCCAGACCTTGCAAATCGGTTGGAATGCAATTCCTGTCTTCACCCCAGCCAACTTTGCCATAAGAATGCTAGTAAACACATAGTACAAACATAGGAGACTGCTATAGAGGCACGTTGTGGCTTTGCAGCTGGGTGTATTAGCAGATCCGCCCCTGAACCGCTGCATCGAAAGCGCCTCGGCAAGGGCTACCCCGCCGCCAGACCCTCCCCAACGGCGAGAAGCGGGTCTCCCCCTTCCCTCCCGCGCTGGCCGCCATCAGGCATTTTCAATAGAGGGAGTAGCCGCCGCCGCCGCCCTCTGCACCCCGCTCGCGGGTTTTATCCGAAATGCGTTTCAGCGAAACGCCGCTCCCCTCCCGAAAGGACCTAGGCCGGCCCCACCCGGCGTCCGCAGAGCCACGCATCCGGGGCAGCAACGGCGCAGCAGTTGAGCCCAGCTGCAGCTGCAAGGCGGGCTTTGCCAGCTCCAAGTGCCTCACCGGACCGGGATGGCAGCCGAAGGAAAGCGAACCTGTGCAAAACAAGTCACATTTCCGGATCCACCTTGCAGGTCACGGCGTCTGCCTGGCAGCCAAGAACGAAAACGAAACCCTTAAGCCTGACAGAGAGGAGAAGGAAAAGCTGACGTAGAAAGCAAACATTTGGGGTTAGGCTTGCCCGAAAGAGGCTTCCCCCCGCCCAGCACTGCTCCACCGAAGGAGACATTTAATTTCTTTTGAGTGAACGGGACGGTGGGCTTTAAAACAGATAAAAGATGGGCATTCACAGGGAGCAAAGGGGATGTGTACGGTAGCATAAATTGGGCACAGAAAATTTCCGGCGGGAAGTAGATGCGGGGGGGGGGGGGCTTGTGGAGTTCGGGTATGG